ATAGGGGGCAGGAAGCAGCACCGCATGGTAGATAGCTAGAGGGGGTGGGGGAGTGGGAACAACTGCCTTTTTAAAATCATTTTCTCCTCCATTTCTCAATGAGGGATTTCTTTATAATCTCCCTGAGGTGAGAATCATATTTTAATTAGGTCTACCTCTGGTTAACAGTTCCCCTCCCTGCCTGATCAATGTACGTGCACACCCGGCGGTGCTAGCAGGGCTGTCAGACTCACTCACTTTCAGATCAAATCGGATCAAATCAAAGATGCCAACAATTCTCAGTCTTCTCACTCTCGCAACACCAAAAAAAAAAACAACAACAAAAAGCCAGCTTGTGCCATGCTAGTCTTTAAAGAAGAAGTTCACCAAAACATGAACATTTCACAATTTCTATTCCCTCACGTCCCCCCCCCAGAGAATACGAAAACAATATTTGTAGACATCAACAGAGAAAAAAGGACACTACAAAAGTCAAAAACACCAAAATTTAAGGCATTATTCAATGATCAGGGGTGCAAACTTGTCACTTTTCGATAAACATCACCATTTGGAATCCAAAATAGGTAGTTAGTGATTCGTGTGGATCTGATGAGTGCTTAAAGCATGACACTGTGTTTATTTACATGCAAGCAGATCACGTTGTTACAAGCAAGCAGTCTGTGTTTTCAGTGTCTCGGACTGGCTTGGTTAGCAGTAAATGCTTATCCACAGGACTCTTGTCTTTGCAAGCGCTGTGAGTTTGAGTCGCTTATTATCTGAAATTAAAACGCAACAAGCGCCAACCATCTTCACAAATTTTGAATGAGAATTGTTTATAAAAACTGTTGTCAGCAAAAAAGAAGCTTTATGGTCTCCCTGAAAAATAAAAAAAATAAAAGATTTGAAAGCAAAGACATTAAGACAGCCATGAAAATTTGTGAAACCCAAATGAAAATTACCCCACGATTTACTCACCCTCAAGCCATCCTAGGTGTATATGACTCTCTTCTTTCAGACGAATACAATCAGAGTTATATTCAAAATTGTTCTGACGCCAATCAATGCGTTTGTGTAAGAAAAATAAACATATTGAAAACTTAATAAACCATAATCTCTAGCTTCTGCTAACTGTCATACGCACATTCATGAGAGTGGCGTTCCAGTAGAAGACGTAGGATGTAGGCGTAGCGTAAGCTACTATTCGCTTCAGAAGGCCTTTATTAACCCGTGTGGAGCACTTTTTATGATGGATGGATGCACTTTATTTTGCTTCAAAATCTTAACCTCCATTCACTTCCATTATAAAGCTTGGAAGAGTCAGGACATTTTTTTATATAACTCTGATTGTATTTGTCTGAAAGAAGAAAGTCATATACACCTAGGAAGGCTTGAGGGTGAAGTAAATCATGAGGTAATTTTCATTTTTGGGTGATTTATTCGTTTATTTTAATAATAATAATAATAATAATAAATACCAATTTTTGTTATTTTACAGTAAATTAGTATTATTATTGCGTTAATATATTTCTTTGTCTTATTAAAATTTTATAATAAAATATTTTAATAATAAATAAATAAATAAATAACTATTATTATTATTATTAAATACAATTTTTGCTATTTTTCAGTATAACAGTATTATTGTTTTTATGTTAATATATTGCTATATTGGCTTTTAAAAAATAATTTTTATAATTGAATAAAATACAAATATTTTTTAGGAAAAATAATACTATATACAGTACAGTATAATAAAATATTCACAATAACATATTATGAATAATAAACATATTTTTTGTTGTTATTATTGTATACTTATGTTATATGGGTTCTATAAAATACAACGGCGTGAATATTGCCTGTCAGGAAAAAAAATCTGACTTAAATTTCTGTTCATTATTGTCACGAATCCGGTCCATGAACTTTCCTTTTCATTGAGTCTCGCACCACACAAACTGTTGCATAGCACCCCGGACTACATTTCCCATCATGCATTACTGATTGCACTCAGCACGAATTGCACACACCTGTTTACACTGATTGCACCCAGCTGTTTCATATCACTCCCTCACTATATAACACTCACTCTTATCCCTTCCCTCTGCCGAGTATTGTTCCGCATTTATCACTCCCCTAGAGATAGCGACTCTACAGAGCCCTCGTTTGTTGCCTTAGCCTTAGCCTTAGCCTTAGCCCTAGTCATTTGCCTTAGCCTTAGCCCTTGTCATTT